CCTTCCAAGTAGCCAGAATTACAGGCATGCACTACCACGCCCAGCTGATTTTTTGATTTATTGTAGAGATGAGGTCTCACTGCTCAGGCGGGTCTCGAACCCGCGGGTTCAGGCAATCCACTCACCTCAGCCTCCCAAAGGTGTGGGATTACAGGCTGAGCCACCGAGCCCGGCTTGCTTTTATTTTAAAACAATTATTATAACTATAACATGTTAATTATCTGATGACTTTAAAAACCTTTAGAATATATATGCTGCATAAATTCTACTTACATTCTTTATTCTTAATTATATTATAAACTCAGAACATGGGCATCAAAACAGGTTAAAAGAACAAAAGCCTCAGCTAGCACACAGCATGAAATAAAAGACCTGGACTAATAAAGATATTATGTACTCACTCAATATACAAGTCAGAAAGTACATAAAGGCATAAGACTCTGAGGCATGAATGAAATAAAGGGCTAAATCTGAATAACTTGGTAGGACTATGTACATACAAAGCAGATGTTCTCAAATTTGATGTGAATCACAATCACTTGGAAAACTTATTAAAAATATAAAAGCTGGGCCCCACCCCAGAACCAATGTCCCTTTAGAATACATGTCAGAACAGATTCTTGATTTCAAATTTTAAGTTGTTTTTATATTTGAATTATATAAATGCACATCTAAATACAAAATAAACAAAACCAAAAATACATTGAAATAGATTCAAGATACTCAGAAAACATAGTAACAGGAGAATAAGGCTTCAGATGACTATAGTCTATAAAATCTTCTGGCCATAAAAATAAAATACCAGTGCAAGTTCATATCTTCACTTTGAGAAAAAGTTTATTCCCCCTAAAATTTGTCGAATACCAGGCACAATGCTGTGTGCTACAAGTACATCTGTGAATACCCAACTGTACATTGAGATAGACAACAAACAAGTAAACAAACTAATAAACACAAATCACACTGAGTATTTATTTGGAAGGAAACAAATAAGGGTGTATTGGTGGATGATAATAGAGTAGGGAGAAGGATCTATTCTAATTAGAATACTTTAGAAATCTTTCTTTGAAAAACTGATATTTAATGGGCTGTGGGGTTAAATTGGTAGCAAATTAGATGGAGTTGGAGACCATCATACTTAGTGATCTATCACAGAAACAAAGAACTGAATACTGCATGTTCTCACTCATGAGTGGGACCCGAATATTCATCACATTAGTGCAAGGGGGAGAATGGTACTTGAAGGACACTGCCAGGGGAGGGGAGAAGGGAGGGGGTGTGTAGCAGCACAAAGGGTACTTGGTCCTAAACTGGGGAAAGCGAGGGCCAGTTGGAGGTCTAGGAAACCTGTTTGTGTAATTAATCCTGGCTTGTTACCCAAACATCTACAATTTTTAAAAAAAGAAAGAAAACTGTGATAAAAATGAGAAGATATGACCTAGGGAAACAGACAGGAAGAGAAGACAAAAGCTCAGAAAATGCCCCAAAGTAGTCAAGAGATTGGGTGTTCCAAGAACCTATGAGATTCAAGCATGGTTGCAGCCTAGTTAGTGAGACATGAAGTTAGATGGAGTGGGAGGGTCAGATTATGTAGACCACTGTGAGACGCAAAAGAAGCTTTTGATTTTATTCTAAATACAGTTTTAATCTATTAGACGTTTAAGTAGAGGATCTGCCTTGTTTGGGTGATTGCCTATGCGTGTAGAATGAGAAGCAGTTTAAGTCTGGAAGTGACTTGCTTCATTATATTATTCAAATTGAGCTTGTAAATGAATTCCTCTTGATTTAAAGCAGTATGACTTTTTTAGATTTAATTTTAAAATCAGAAGTAATATGTATGCTGTTATCTTTCAAAAAAGTGACCATTATAACTCCTCTGTTTCTTAACTGTGGAATTCTGGTTGTCATCCCTAGGTATGTGTTTGTAAAATTTTTTGAAAAGTTTTCCTGATCAGTAAATGAAGAAATATTTATCTTGTAGAAATCTTCAAGATTAGATTAGTAAGGGTTGTCTATGTGTGTGTGTGTGCACAAAATCCAGTGTAGAGTCTAACAAATGATAGCTTGCATTATTATTAATAATGGTACATAACTGTTTGTTAAGAGACCACCCGGTCACATTGGTTTAGGCCAGATTGTCTAAAATGTACTGATGACTAGCTACCCAAAACAGCAAGTATAAAGTACAAGGTAGACTCTTGAAATGTTAAACAGAAACAGTTTTGCTTATTTGAGCAAGTGACACCAATAACCATGATATGTGGCGACTGGTAAGATCAATGAAAAAAGAAACTAAATCATGTGTCTATTAACTGCCCTATGTAAAAGAGTCATCAAAAGAGAGAGTGGGCCTTCAGTTTTTTTAAATTAAACATGAATATAATTATATTCAACCATCACAATCATTCAGCTACATTATCTGTATGCTGATTAGTTGGCAGTCAGTGAGATAAGTTCCATATTTCAGAAATAAAAAATACATTGTACTTGACATGAAGGAACTTCCAGACCAGAGGGTGTGACTAGGTGCTATTTATTGATAACAGAAAGTTAAAAAGTAACTTTGGTAATTTCCAGTGATTATTAATTCTACTGACCAGATAATTACATAACAGCAAGTGGTAAAAGGCTCATTAAGTGAGTTATTAAACATAAAACAAAGGGGAGGACATATTTTTTTCCTAGGCACTATAAATGAAACTTGTAGGCAGAGTAATGGCCTCCCCAGAATGTCCACACCCTGGAATCCCTGGAATCTGTAAATCTGTTAGGTTCTATAGCAAGGATGAATCAGGGCTGTGGACAGAATTGCAATTATTAATTAGCTGTCCTTAAAATAGAAAGATTATCCCATATTATTTGGGTGGGCCCAGTGTAATCTCAGAGTCTTTAAGATGGGAAGAGAGAAGCAGGAGAGTCAAAGGAAGATGTGACTCCTGAAGGACAGGATGAAGCAAGGAATCTGTCCAGAGAGATGCAAGGTTGCTGGCTTTGAAGATGGAAAGAGGGGTTGCGAGTGAAGAAAGGCGGGTCATCTCCAGCAGCTGGTAAAAGCAAGTAAAATAATTCTCCCCTAGAGCCACCAAAAAAGAACACAGCCTTACTGGCACTTCGACTTTAGCCGGCTGAGAACCTATTTCAGACTTTTGACCTACTGAACTATAAAATAATCATTTGAGTTGTTTAAACGTCTAAATTTGTGGTGATATTTTTTATACCAGTGATATAAAAATAGAACTCTCATCTTTAGGACTGTATTTTTTGAATTGCAATCCATTGAATTTTATTTTGGAATAATCTGGAGAACCTGTTGAAAACGAAGATTTCTTTTCCCAACCCCACATCTATGGAATCAGAAACTTTTAGGACAAAGCCCATGAATTTTTCTCTCATCTGACGGGATGGTCTCATTAAGAGACTAGTTGGGAACCAGTGCTCCAACTTCTTAACCTTCTTTATGTCAGAGACTCTTTGGGAAAATCACAAAGAGTATGGATCCTCTCCCTCCCTAGTGTTTAGA